AAACGCCTTGGGGTTCGTCCGATAGGTTGCGTCATAATTACTGCGCAGTGCTGCTAATATCGGCACAACTGTTAATAAGAACTGAATAACTGGCATAACTGAATAAGAATCTGTTACATAATCTTATTATAATAACCTACAACTTTATAATAATTAAAATTGGATTTGTAGTGGTAGTCTGTATTATGCATTTGATTTCGGCGAAACCCCAAGTATTATATGTAGTTTGGAGGCCGTGTTTTACATTTTAAACCAAATGTATTCGTAATAATATATTTATTTCTTATAAGAAAATTCATCTAGTTAATATATAGCCGAGTAATTAAGGAATTACACTATTATTTATCAACAATCCATACGATTTTCGAACAAAATAGGTGTACGATGTAGATTTTGTTAAACTTATTATTGTTATAACTTTTTTATTAGTTAAGATACAACTTTTTACCCAATGACCTTTTCTATTGGTAATATTTTTTGGATTAAAACTACTTTTTAACCGATGTCCTATCTCGTACCGTTCTCGAGCTACAGTCGTCTCGATGCATAGCACGTTCCGCCATCTTTGCCCCCCTCCCCAAAGTTCTCGACCACCTGAAAAGTAGGCGACATGCGTATTTTTTATCACCACAGTCCATATTACAACTATCAGCAAATATATTTGATATTACTTCTTTGAGACACTCACAAATTAATTCTACTTTCGGTTAAAAAACTACACGAAAAGTCCATTTTTACATATTTTATACAATAACTTGTTTATTTATAGAGATACGACCTCGGACCCAATAACCATTATTGTTGTCCACATTTTTAAAATTCCAACGACGTTTTAACCGATGTTCTATCTTTTACCGTTTTCGAACTATCAGCATTTTAACGCATAGCGCAAACCGCTATGTTTGCCCCTTCCCCCCACTTTATCGACCACTTTTGAAATAGGCGACATACGTAATTTTGATCACCACAGTCCATATTACAATAATCAGCAATAACGTTGCGTACTACTTTCACGCATGCTCAACCCCCCTCAGCTCCTGGACTATAAACTCGAACGAGTTCGTGAACCAGCAATACCGAGTAATAAAAAATGGGTGTTATAGGGTTTAATTGTATTCAAACATTGTGTTTTTTTTTTTTAATTTTTATTCTTAAAACCATTTTCATTATAACCATCACAATTAGCTTAAAATTATTTTTGTTTATTAAAGCATTGTTTTACACTTAACAGTTACAAAGAAAACAGTACAAAAGTGTTTATAGATAGTTTGCAATTCGTTTTGATGAGTAAATAGTTTTAGTTTAGTTGTTTATTTATATATTATGATAAAAAATATATTTTCCTATAGTCACCCGATAAAGTGGGCTTCCTTGCACAGAGTACAGAAAGCCTTATTTGGCACACTTTGGCGCATACCAGTATTCCAACCAACAACACAAAACAGCGTGCTTTTATCATGCACGTAATCCGCGTACGCTTGAAAATAAGTTGGTAAAAGTTAAAGATATTACGACTACGATCAGCTGGTGCAGCGTTTCCCATTTCGTTCAGTGTTTGGATTTAACCAAACCTTAAAACGTGTTGTACAGTGTTTGAAAGACCAATTATTTATATGCTTTATAGTAACTCTAGGAAAAATGTACTAAATAACACGAGTGCAAACGTGCAAAAAAGTGCCACTTCACTCTCTAGTTACACAACCAGTTAGTTAGCCAATATATTTGACCAAAACCGCTTTTCCCTTCTTGTTACAGCAAACCTAATAAGTACTTGTTAAACCTTAACAAGTACTTGGTACAACAAGTACTTAAGTAAGTACTTGGTACTTGTTAAACCTTATGTTATTTAAATACAGAACACATCTGACATCCTTAGGCATTTTTTTTTTACTATAAACCCATTCACACGAGTGGAAATTCGCTTAGTCTGCACTTTTTTTGTGACGAGGGTATTTCGTATACTATTTGACAGTCGTATCAGATTAGTTGGCTAACTATTTCTTATAAATTAGTTTAACAAGTTTGATTCAACTTTCGTTAAAATCTGATAAGTCCTACTAGAGTTATCGTGGAAGTTATCAAGTTACCTCTGTGGTAGCAGGTATTGGTCTTACCATCATAACTTCGGTAACTACTTACCAGTAAGAGAGTTGTCAGTTTGGGATGGTGTTATTTTTACAATTCTACTTGGATCAGAGTGTATTCCATTAGACATATCGAAAATAAATCATTATATGATAAATTAAAATATAAAAAATTATCAAACATCACTTAATGTAGTTTACAGTGGATTATTACCACTTAAAAAGCAGTTTCTAATCTCCATATATTTATATTTTTATGCATTATAATTCATTTTCAGACAAAACTAATTATCAATACTTAAGTAAATAATAATGGGGGAAATTGAGGTATAACCTTGTACAGTAATGACGAATGTGGAAAGAGATGAAGAAACGTCGGCGCCTGGCGGCAGCCATATTCTCCGGTCCCATCAACAAAACCAACAAATACTAACCATAACATCAACACCCTTCTGCTGACATACTCCGGTCCCCATTACACTTCATCTCTTCAAATATTCCTACACTAGCGTAGGTGATTTGAAGCCAACATATAATGAAAACGAGTGCTATAAATCTTAATTAGAATGTATAAGAGTATATATTTTACTAGTTAGGTGTTAATATTTTTATCATAAAATGAATTTCTTTTCAATTTTGACAGCTTTTAGTGGGAGCTTCATTGTACCCAGGGAGTTCAAAAAAGATGAGGATATTACTTAAGTAGGGATTCCTTGGGTCAAAATAAGCAAAAAAGTAATACACATAAACATATATCCTATCTCGTCTCCTTATTATTATTATTTTACTATTGATGTTTTCTCGAGGTACATTGAAGTTTGTAATAACTATCACATCTTAGATACCAAAGCATAAGTAAAATTGGTTTCGTCTCTAAATCAAATCATTAAGTCTTACGATATCTATCTCAGTTTAACGGAGAGCGAGGACACACAAGGCCAAGTAGGAACAGTGTAGGACCTTTACCAGAGCTTAATTTTTTGACCGTGTGTCTTTGCACCATAAAGGATTTTGGACCTTAATTTGGGAAGCCTTAGGGCAATTAATTATAGTCTCACTTTAATCAAATCACTATGAACGGAAGAAGCGAATTATATCCACTGATCATCACCTCTACAACAATATGCCACAGCTTCCACTTCGACGAAGCGTCGCATCGTCATCATACCACGTCAGGAACTGACACAGAAATATATCTCCCCACGGCCACGAACCCACGACTCCATCATTCTACCATTCCTGCGAATTCGCAAGTCTACCAATGGATGTTGACGATATAAGGGGCAAACCAAAAGGACATGCCTCATCAATAGCCGGGGTATTGTAAATCTTTCCATCGTAACCATGACACCCGATCCAGAAACAGTTCGCTTTACATTCAGACCCACCCCCAATTTAAACAACGCTATGCGTTTTGGAGCACGAAAATTAGTGGTTTGCATACAAAAAAAATCGCAGAATTTTACTAGTTTATAAGAATATACAAGTGATCTACATAGTCAAGTGTCAATGTGAATAACATTGGAAATTACTTACTATGTTTGGCACTTTGAATATCTCTGCATCTATTAAACAATAATATAATACACTGAATTATTTTTCTATCTAAACTCCATTTTGAAATTCTTGGTGGACTTATAAATCTATTATACAGGGTGATTGGTACTCAGTGTGACAAAACTTTTTGGTGTAAGTGCAAAGTAAATGAAGTGTGATGATGCATATAAAATGTTCCAAGTCTAAAAGTTAGCTTCCCAAAAAATTATTTTATGTTTTTCAAAAATAACCATGGTTTTAAACTTAATACAGCGATTTCTCAATTACCTGTATATGGATTTGAGTAGAAAATGTCATTTTCGTGTTCTACATTAAATTTTGAACAAGAATAATGGAAAATGACGGAGGATCAGTTATAAAAACTCCATTGTAAATAGATTCAAAGATAAAAATTAAAGTATTTGATAAAAATTTTAAAAACAATTGTATATTGCATTTTTCACACCCTGTATACAAGAAAGTGTCGGAATATGTTAAAAACTGCGCCATTTTATAAGCTTTCCAACGATATGCTACACTATTGAGGTTTAAGTCTGCTTATGTAGGCTATAATGGTTTGAAGACTACAAATCATGGTGTCTTTAACATTTAAAACATAGAAAGTCGGCATGTATTAAGCAAAAGTTGTATTTTTGATTCAGCTTGAACAGTAAAAACAGTAAAATAGTTCCCTGTTTTCTGGTATTCAAACCACTAAAACAAACAAAAAAATATCTAAACCTCAATAGTGTAGCATATGGTTGGAATGCTTATAAAATGGCGCAGTTTTTAACATATTCTGACACTTTCTTGTATACAGGGTGTGAAAAATACAATAGACCATTGTTTTTTAAATTTTTATCAAACATTTTAATTTTTATCTTTGAATCTATTTACAATGGAGTTTTTACAACTGATCCTCTGTCATTTTGTATTATTCTTATTCAAAATTTAATGTAGAACACGAAAATGACATTACCTACTCAAATCCATATACAGGTAATTGAGAAATCGCTGTATTAAGCTTAAAAGCATGGTTATTTTTGAAAAAAAAATATTTCTTTGGGAAGCTAATTTTTAGACTTGGAACATTTTATATGCATCATCACACATCATTTACTTTGCACTGACACCATAAAATTTTTGTCACACTGAGTACCAATAACCCTGTAGTTTACAACATTTCATCCTCTAAAAACATCTAAGAACTTATTGAGCAACTTATTCATACTGTATTTGGGTTGAGTCTAAGAATAAATGTATCTTTAACACGGACTTATTTGAATATAAATTAAATAGGTCGACAGAAATTTTTGCAGGTTTTAATGTTTTCTGTGATGGTTGGTATTGTACATGTTCCTAATGTATATACTTTTGCAGATGTCCTAATATGGGCGGAAGTGGAGGGCTGATAGCGGCCGCCGTGTGTCTGGGGTGGTGTCTACTCATCTCCGCCTCCTCGCCTACTGCTGACATGTGAGTACCCTTACAACTCCAAAGAGTATTATGTAACTTTAATATGGCCATTTTACCAGGCATGTATTTGAATAATCAATGATGTTTATTAAGGATATTTATCTGAATTAATCGACAGGAATATTTAATTATTCTAAGTGTTCTGTGGACACATACACACGCACAGCAAGGACCGCCTAAGACAAAACGCGTTACAATTAACCGCAGAAACACAGAACCTTAGTAAACTTGACTTCTAGGTTCTAGCAGTTTCGGGTACAGCTTTTAACAGTTTTCGTTGAGTTTAAATATTATTGATAATCTTAAATGACAGTTTTATTATGTTATACTTGTGTTTGATATTATCCTTCGGAGCTCATAGGGCGCAAACAAGTGATTTTAGGGCGTTCGACCCACTTATTTGGCAAATAGTTCAATCTTTTTTGTTTATATTCTTATTTTAATCTCTTAGCAAAGCAAACATGATATCATGTCACGACGAAAAATGAAATATAAAACACGGAAAATACTAAACACAGAAATAAATATTTAAGAGCGTACACCAAAAAACTCAAAAAGAGGTCAAAAGCTTCAAAATCAGAGAGAGTCAAATTTTAACTATTTTAAGGCGAGACAATGAAAAACTCCACAATAATTCACATAAACAGATTTTTGTAATGTTTTATAATTTTAGGTCTAATAATTATGATGCCAACATTTTCTTTATATCGATAAATATATTACAAGTTTAGGACTGTGTATTTATTTTATATTTGTTGTGCAACTTGAGCATTTAAGAGTGTTTTAAGATGCTAACTACTTGACATGGATAGTCTATTGGATGGACTGGCGGAGAATGAAATTTAAAAGAATGCAATAGTAATCGATCTTCCACTACTTCTTGTTCTACTTCTTGAACTTGAATCTCGTCTTAAGTTTGTGCTAGATCTGTTTGTTTGTGATTTATTGTCGTCGTAATTTCCATCATGATTCAAAGCATCGATTCCTTAATTTAGCTTACAGATTTGTAATCGTATATGGTATATACAGATGTGTTTATGTACAGGGTGTCCCACGGAGAGTTTGCTTTTTTATTAATATTAATAGACATATGGAACACGCTACAATAAAATTCACAGTTATAGTAAATAAATACGTACAAAAATACCCTCAAGTCTCATTTGGTTCTAATTAATTAGAACAGAATCTGTAAAATAATAACAAAATCATGCAAAAAATTTGTTGGCATGATTAAAAAAGTCTATAACCACTTTTGTGCGTCAGCTTGAAGGGAGGTTTATGATTTAGACTCATTTCATTTATGATTCAACTCTATCCTATCTCTTCAATGACTTTAATTTTGTTCTCTTGTAACATTGCAACAAATTAGCAATGGATTAGAAAAGGGTTTGAAAATTAAAATACTTAAACAAAAATGCACCATTATTTTGATGTTTTGCCATTTTGTTCCGAATGGTTGGAACCAAGAAGAAATCGAGGGTTTACATATGCGTTTGACGTATAGTTGAGGAGTTTCAAGTAGGAGAATGTTCAACGCGTCTCAAAAATAGCAATCGATTCAATAATAGCGACCTTTTTGTGAGCCACCCTGTAATTAAATTATTATCTGTATAAACTATTTTAACATTAATTATTCAATTGAGTATAATCGATAGTATCTTTTGAAAATTCATTATCCCTACCTTGTGTTCATTACTCACTTTATATTTTCTAGGCCCTATCTTCTTAAGATTTGTTACTTTTCCTCGTGGTTTAACTACATTACTAGAATATCACATGAAATTAAACAATTCTACATCGTGGTTATACATTATTACTAATTACAACAAAAACCTGTGACTAAACTTATACTAATCCGATACTTTAATTAACCATCCGTTCCATAATGCTTCATGAGTTTTCGTTCAATATTAGACTGATCAAGCCACGTGTAAATCCCTTTGATCTAGTTTATGATCGAACTAATCAGTGTGATGATATTACTGAGTAGATGATTGGTCACCTGTAATTAAAAGGGATTTACTCCGTGACACAGTAGTGCACTCTCGAGGCCATGTGTGGTCAAATTGATTCTGGGTATCAGAGTCAATAATGGAGGCTTTCAACACTGCTATTTTATATGGTCCTAGTGACAAAATGCAGTTCAAAGGCTTTTATGTAATGGTTTTTTCAATACGAAAAGTGGAAGAACTTAAAATAAAAATTTTTATTTAGCACACTATATGTGCTCGTATATGTAACAGTCAGAAGAATTACCCATAAGACATTTTGGTGTTTTTTTCCCATTCTGATCCGTTAAATCATCGTATATTTAATGTTGGTAATTTATATGGCACTTGGTCAAATCACAGACAAGGGAATAAGTTATCAGAATACGTTTCCCCTTACAGTTTATATATCGAAAGCTCAGTCAATCAAATTACAAAGTAAACATACGGTAGATGAATAACCATAATGCAGATTATATTACGATTGGTAAAAATACAATTATCAAGATCCAGGCCTAGTGTAGTTTCAGAATTTGGAATTCCATCCTCAGGTAAGAAATTTACTCAAACATAAAAAGATTAGTACACGAACCCAGCTAAAGCCGGAAAATAACTAAATATAAACCACACAACGAACCAACGGAGAATTCCTGCAATAAATATTAAAATTATGAATACATACCATTGCCAATAAAGCAAACATAAAAAGTTGGAACAAACAATACTTAAAACTATTGTTAATAAATGTACAAAAATGTGAACTTATACTCCAGTGCATTACTTATTTATTTATTTATTTATTTATTCATACCAACGGTCAAACCAATACATAAATATGACAAAAACTTTATAAGACTTAAGTTAAAAAAAGACAATTTTTGAAGCAATTTAAGCCAACTTGAAGTAATATTCAATTAATATTAAGTAAGTAATATTATTACAAGTATATCTGTATAACAAGTATGCTACTAATAGCGATACGTTTTTTCTACAAATTAATACATCGCAAAATTAGTTGAAAACAATTCATTATTGCTGTTTTATACTTGTACAGTTACTACAAAATAAACAGAGTTATATTTCAACTTGTTGAATGTATTTCACTAGTATTACGTTACATAGCTGGTTTACCGTTGATATCGTAGTGCCTTATGACGCACTCAACCTAAACAAAACCCAGTGTAATACGAGATTTGTAAGTGTCGTGTGGCGGTGGTGGTGGTGGCACAGAGGTTAATACTGCAATGTCACAACAGTCGGGGCTATCGTGCATATCAACAGCGCGCCATGCAAGCCTGCATAAACAGATTCAATTACATTTTCACTGAGACTCAGCCATGCTAGGTTCAATCCTGTATCGGATTACATTTTACCATTACGGTTTTAATGCATTTAACTGATTGTGTGCAGTGTATCGTAAACTTTGGTGATAGCAGCCAAGGTTAATCTTTAGGTAAAGTGACGTAATAATTGTATATTTCCCGCGATAAAGTTTTAGTAATATTACTATTTAAGAAGTATTATTTTCTACTTGTCCAAATTTAGACAGTAAGGTCAAGGTCACAGTATCATTTTTTCTAAATTCGTATGGAAGATAAAATAATGTCAGAGATCATTCATATGTATAATTAGAAACAAAAATTATGCAACGGTAAAATCATTATTCGGAAACGATCAAACAATTAAGTAAAGGCGATGATATAAAAGCAATAAATAAATCACATCTGATTCTTTTACTGAATAAAATATTTAAATTAATTCAAGAAATATAATTGCATTTTATCTATTTAACTTTGTCAATTCTCACATATCCATCACATTGATAGGCCTACTGTGATGCATATTATTCAAGAATAATATAAAAACTTGTACTCTGGTTTTTCTTATATGTTTTCAGATGCCCTAAATAGTAAAACATTCACCATGCATATTATTAAATAAATCATTGAGTTAAATTAATCAAATTCATGACTAGGATTTGTTTTAGTGTAAATATTCGTGGGACACAAATGTATATAGGCGTTATGTATCCTTAGTATAATCAGGATTGGACTATTGTAAGCTGGCATTTACCTAAATGGAGAAAAGGGTTCATTGAAAACATCAGGGACAGAACGATTTGTATTATTTTAGAACTCAAGCTTTGTATTATTTTTGTTTAGGTACCAGGGGACCGAGCAATTTTCGTTGGTGTTTAATTTGCTTTAGAGGTTTACAATATAAAGCATACATATTTTAAAATATACAACAGATATTGATTTTTATTAAAACTATAATAGTTATATAACACTATCTAAAATATGTAGAAAACTCATTTTATTAGGTCACTATGGAGAGGATAGTCGAGTCCCTTTTTCCCGGCTCACACGTTGCGCCCACTGCGGGATTTCGGAAGGGTGGCCGATGTCCCACTTTTCAGCCCTGAAGAGATGGAGGCGGCCTTCCTATCCCTGAAGAACAATAAGGCTGCTGGACCCGATGGGGTACCCGGCGAAGTCATCAAGAAGGTTTTGACTACCAACCCTCTTGATCCTTTTGAGCATATGTACAACGCCTGCCTAGTCGAAGGGGTTTCAGGATGGGGACATCAACGTTTGACGCTATTGAGGAGGTGAAGCAAGCCGTAATGAGAGCTGAGGATTTTAACCACTCTTGTAGGGTTGTGCTGCTCGTAACACTCGATGTGCGAAACGCATTTAATTCCGCGAGGTGGTGTGATATGCTGGATGCTCTGCAGAGCACCTTCCACGTTCCGGCATACCTCATGTGCATCAAAGAGGATTATCTCCGGTTCCGCCTCCTCATTAATGAAATTACGGAAGGCCCGCGGACGAAGAGTGACACTTCTGGTGCCACCTAAGGTTCCATACTCGGCACAGACCTCTAGAATTTCGCTTATGACAGCCATCTGAGGTCTGAAATGCCTGAGGAAACTGTTTTGGAGGGTACGTAGACGACGTCGCAGTTTTGCTAGCTGCACTTAGTGTTGAGCCGGCTCAGCTAAAGCTGAAC